GCGTATGAGTAATACTTGTTGCTATAGGTATTCATACTACTGGTTATGCTTTTCGGTTCTCATAACAGGTATGTATATTAGCGATATGGGGTTTGGGTAATGCGTAAGATGTCATTTAATTGAAAACATTACTATAGTATATTCAGTAGACATTTAAAAACTTAGTAGTGAACAGACGTATGTTTGTGTGCCGGTATGAATTTTTTATCATTTTTTTTTTATCATATGGGTCATTCGACAAAATATTTACACCCCAATATTTTTTTTTGGTGAAATATATTTTTTTTACATTCTTTATCGAAAAAAAGAAACCTATTTTTTTATTTCGGCATGATATTCGAAAATCTCGAAAAAAATTCCCGAAATTTTGAACTCACGGAGAAGTATCTTTTTTTAATTTTTTGCAGTTAATAAACTATTTATCGGAGAAAATCAGTTAAGGTATCGAAATGTGCGTAATTACCTCAGCTTTCCATGGGAGCGTGAGATAGATTAAAATAAAAAATAAAAATTTTGCAATAAAAAGTTTTAATTTTTTATTTATTTTTTATTAACTTCATCATGTTTGATTTTTTTTCAACCTGAATAAATGTCAAACTTTATGGAGTAAGCTGTAAAAATTTGAGAGTGAAAACGTCAAAACTGTAGAAGTTACGAAGTTTTTCACACCTGCGTACATAAAGTTTATACTAAAGTTTCTCCGACAAATAGTTTATTAACTGCAAACAATTAAAAAAAGAGTTCAATATTTCGATATTTTCGAATATCATGGCGAAATAAAAAACTTCGTGTCTTCTTTTTTTCGATAAAGAAAGTAAAAAAAATATATTTCACCCCAAAAAAAATATTGAGGTGTAAATATTGTATGGAATGACCCATATGTTAAATAGTTACGTCTCGAAAAACGTACATACGTACATATGTATATGTATTTTAATAACGCAATCACACACCCAAATTGATTAGAAATCACAGGAGTCAAGATAAGCGCTTGAAAATTCGTATTTATAGTCCGATTTGGAAGATATTTGTAAAAGCCGTATTTTTAAGTAGCTGTTAAACGTGGCAAGTGCAAGTCCTTTTTCAAAAATCTGTCAAACTCAAGAATTTCCAAGAGAGATTGCAGGAGCAGTTAAGACCGAGTCAGACGTGGCAATATATTTCGAAAAGGCTGTCAAATTGAGACATTTCAAAGCAAAGCGGTTGCATGAGCAGTCACACCTTGCATGTAAAATGTCTTACGAAAGAGGTTTTTTATTTCCGAAAGGCGAGTTGCTGATTGCTTGTGTAGAACGAGCAAGTTTAAATATATTTCCGAAATCGATTTGCGCGCTTTGAGTTGCAGTCACACCTTGTAACTTTCATTTTTGAAACTGATTTCCGAAAAGTGACAGAAAGGTCTTTCTGGCTGTTTACACGTGGAAATAAAATTTCTATTTCTCAATTTGACAATTGCGTGGAAAAGTTGAAAATATTGCCAAGTCTGACACGCCTTAACCGTCTCCAATCGGGACCAAAATTTATACATATGTGATATCTTCGACTATAGTAGCATCGAGGCGGGCTTAGGAAATCTGATATATAGAAAGAATTGACTTACAAAAAAATGCAAAATGCGCAACGCTTGCTATTTTCAAAAATATTTGTGATCAGATTTCCCGCGATAGGATTAGGTGGGATCGGTAAGTTGCGGAAAACCTCATTCATGTTCAATTCTACTAAATAAAAAATTTTCATGTTAAATTGATGATTTGAAAAGGCTTATGAATTCATTTGGACACACTAAGAGATTCACGCTAGAAATTCTTTTCATATTTTCATTAATACGAATTTCTTTGCAAGTTTTTGGAAGTTCACTTGGAAGATTAGTTTTTGGAGCTTGAAACAATATAAGTTTCGAGTGATAAGTAGAAAGTTAATATGGGTACTTAAGCGGGTAAGATATCTGAACTTAAGTGGGATTCACTTTATGGTAAAATCAGTGTTGCCATTTTAGCCGTTTTCTGGCTAGATTTAGCCGGTTGCGATAGCAAACAGCCGGAGAAATTTCGGTTTAGCCGGCAGCCGATTTGTTAGCCTTTTTGTAAAAAAAAAAAAATAGCCGTTTTTAGCCGATATTGCTATTTCCCTTGTTTTCTTAAGATTCAAATATATATGTTTACATTTTTGACTAAGCAATCGAAAATCTGTTAAAGAAATTTTTACTTACTTACCAATGTATATGTAGTTAGGTCGTCTATGTTTTCTCATCTTTTCTGTAAACTCTTGTTCGTATACGCTCTACTATTTCTGCAACCTCTTGCTCATTTACGCTTTACTATTTCTTCCCTTTTTTCACTGTTGGCTAAGCCTTAGAATTTAAGTTCAGTGTAGAATTCAAATTTTTAATTGAGTTGTAAAAATGTACAAAAAATACTTAATATCTTACCGTTGTTTTGAGATAAATAAATATTGATATTTAAATGGCTACTAGCCTTATCGCTTAGAAAATTTTCATGTCAGGCAGGGTTATATAAAATTGGGCCGATTTCGCTTATTTTTATTTTAAGTGAATATATTTTTTCTGAAATGTTTGTTATGAATGTCTTAAATTTAAGTGTGAAGTTTTATTCGCAAACTTAGAAAATAACAACTTGTTTCACTGTTTGCTTAACACGCGTTTGTGTTTGGATATAGTGCCAACACATAGAATAAATATTACAGGTATTGTCTTCCCAGATAGCTCATATTCAATTCTGTCTTAATTACAAAACATCATTGTTGCCCACGCTTAAAGGTTTATGGTACGGGAAAAATATATTTTGTATTTGTATATGTATTGTTTTTTTGTATATTTTTTTTAACTCTTATTTCGTTGAGACCTTATTTAAATTCCAAAAACCGAAAGCCAACTTGAATTTAAAGAACCAACACCGAAATGCGTCAAAGTGAAAATAAAAGAGCCCAAATTTCTATGTAAAGCAAAACTTTCTGGCAAGCTAATAGGTTTGTTCGTCGAAAATCCAGCGAGAATTCACTCAAAATATCAGATAGTAAGAAAAAATGCTCCCAACTTCTCTCTCAAGTAGAGAAACTTGCAAATTTCTGCACAAACGCAAGTTTTCAGGAATTTGCAAGTTTTCCTGCCAGCTAGTGTCCACGGTTGCATTCAGACATAAGAAATTTGTATAGGATTTTTAAAATTCTTTCAGAGGGGCAAAGGATCTATATGTAAATTTCTTGCTAGGCCGACTTTCTTCAACATACGTGTCAATTTCTTTGCCGTAGTAACTGTCGGATTTCCTATATCGACTCTGGTTGAGATTGCATTCCGATTACGAATACAGTTCTTTTCAGCCGAGTACCTTTCAAATCATTGGAATTAACTAAATTAGTTAAGTAAACAAGTATTTACTTACATTTTTCATTTTAAAATCGCTCAAGTTTGTAAATTTTTAAATTTAGCGAACAAATTAATATTGGCAAAACCACCATAAGTTTTTCCTAATTACAAATTCTTGCTGGCAAAATTTTTTCCAGCTTGAATTTGAAACTTCTCTCCAAGAACTAGTCTTTGTTTAAAAAAAACATGTGAAATTTTGTTGAAACAGTTCAGCCGTTTTTAGCCGTTTTTTGCCAATTTAGCCGGTTGGTCCAAAAAGTTGTTGCAACACTGGGTAAAATATGAAAATAGAAGTTCTTTATCTATATATGTGTATCTACTAACACATTAGCAGGTCTATTCTGTGCTGGTAACATAAATTTTGTAACCGGTAATTTAAGTGTCTGTCAATTTTTAAACCATTTTCGCATTCTGTGCGCTCTTGTAACCGGTAAATTTGGTTACCATCTCATAAACTGGTAACAAAATATTACCCCGTGAAATATGCAATACAAGAATTTCCACAAATCTTCACAGCTGAACTGCTGAATATTTTCACTGCATTACCAACGTACCTAGAATCGTGCTGACAAGAAGTGGTAACATTTTTTGGTAATACAATTTTCCGGTCACAACTGAAAGTATATTGAAAATATTTGAGATAGGGCATTTTTGAATCGGCAGCCGAGATAGGGTGTTTTTGAACCAAATTCTGAAATAGGCGGTGCCATTGCTTAAAGCAAAGTTTCTTCAATAGAAAAAAAATGGCCAACCAGATATGACTCAAATCTATTCAATACAAGTACTTTTCTTTCGATACCAATGAGGTATCGACAAAACGATTCGAGTAAAAAAGGTAGTTGGTATCGAAACAAAAGTATCGAGTACATCGAGTATGTACTTATTTATTTACTTGTATCGGAACATCCCTAATGGAGACCGCTCATTGCTCTTTAAAGCACAACATATATCAGAGCTTATATCTTGCCATCTATTGCCGGCAATTTGGTAGTTTGACAGCTACATGTTCATTTGCATGAAAACTTCGTGGCGGCAACATTATTGATATTTAAATATAAAAGCAAATATTGAGCCGTTTTCTGTTAAAATATTTGTTATTATGTAATTGGATGTAAAATAGCGATTAAATCCGGCAAAAATACGTTTCAGAAGCTATCTCACAAATGCTTATATCAAGATATAAAAAGCCCACACAAATATTGCCACTGATATAACACTTATATCTAGCGACCAAAATGACAGCTGGACAGCAATAAATTTTATCCCATGGAGACGGCCAGTAAAGGGCAGATGAATTTTAAAACTTGCTTCAGAAAACGTTTCTAAGTACAGCGCCTTATATGTATTAACATTGCAGAGGTTGAAATTGAATTTATTTATATGAAAATTTCTCTCCAACAGTAGCGGCAGGCGAATGCTCTGAATACATATTATAAAAATTCAAAAGAAACAAGTTTATTTTTACGAAATTTCATTTCTGTATTTCCAAATTGCTTATAGTCATACTCGTATTACATTTTGGTAAATTTTTACAAATATAAAATGCATTTGATTTTTGGTAGACAATAATTCCATACACAAATCTTCAAACAAATTTTCAATTATCTTTTTTTTTTTGATTAATCAGCGCGTTGTTTCCATTATTAAAAGATGACTACGCTTAGCATTGCCTTTTCAGTTAGAATTTACTTTTGTAGTTTTAATTACAATTATGCATTATTATTTTATTTTTCCTTACTTTTGAAAATCTGCGCTTACGTTCACATAAAAAACATTAATAAAATATGTGATTTAGCGGTGATTGAGGGCCTTTATTTTTAGTTGACATGTTTACCAAATCGAGAAGTAATTATTGTATGGTCATTATTAGAGCAGACTCTAGAACTTAACAATATGTCGTCCAATTCAAAATCTGGCTCTCCGAAGTACTCTTGAATTTATTAAATAACATCAACAATCATTATACGCATACAAAATTTATTGGATTACAAATTATTATAGAAATCATACAAGGCAACCCCACATGTTAGAATAGAGCTCTGTAGTCTAAAAAACCTGGGCACTTTATTTACACAACCATGAACCATATCGTCGATTCTAGAAGAAAAAATGGACAGTCCATAAGCTAAATATTAATTTTAATGTGTACACATATGTATGCATTATAAAACTGACAAAGACAAGATTTTAATATTTTTTCGTTTTGGCTTAATAAGTATTGCTTCGAAACAAGAATTTACCATTAAACATGTCACAAGAAAGGTTATACATCGAGATGATTAACAAGTTATCGCTAAATACAGAACTTATAATACTTTTCGTACCGCTTTTGCATGCACTGCTTTGCTTTTACACTGTTTACTTAACTAAACCGTCGAAATATAAATCAGTTAATACGGAAATTGCTTTAGAATATCAATTAGAAGAACTTTCAACGTTTTGACTTTTGACACGATATCAGTTGTAATGCAATCATGTTAAGTTCCGATACTTTTTACATCACTTTACTCCCAATCCTTTTTAATTTCAAAAGTCCAATCCCATTTGAGGTGTATATGCTTATCGTCATCCGTAAAAAGCGAAGCTACTGAATATGTACCGCGTGCCATCATGCCCGAAGGAGCTTCCTCTGAGGGTGTTAGGTAGAATTGAATTTCTTTTTTCGGTGGATATGAGCCGACCATATGTGTCATTTTGTCAACTGGAAAATGCAACATAGCTGATTATGTAAGATCTGAGAAATTTATAAATCACATAAAATTTTAATTAAGGTTGTCTTACCAACAACTTTTGGAGGATGTTTTTTTTTAGTTGAATAAACATGAACACAACACAATCACACAAGCGAGGGTTAGTATTTTATTAGTTACAACATTTACAAATCCAGTGGAAGCAGAGAGAAAAATCAATTAAAAAATGAATTAATGGTATACAGGAAGACATAAAGAATACCACCTCAAAATATGACTAAACCAACTATTTTCAGCAATAAATGAAAAATGTATATCCATAAGTACATACATAATGCATACTCCAAATGGGCATATGAAATTATAAACATGTCGCATACATACATACTTAAAACAAGTTGCGAGACGATCGATCTACTGTACAATACTATTAAACATACACAAAAATTGGTTTGGAATATTTAAGATAAACCTAAAACTAATGCGAGTAGTATTTAAGCTATATTTCATTAGGGCTATAAAATAAGAACATTGTGACAGAAATGGAAATTAAATAATTTATATTACACCGTGGAAAGATTCACATAGAGTTTTTTATTAGGGCCTCAACCAAACTATGTTCAAACGATAGTACCCATACGTTATAATCAGACATGTTTTTAGTGGGAGTTTTTTTTGCCACGAAATCAATGAAATATATGTTGGTGTTGGTTGATTTTTCCCCGACAGGGTGGTAAGATGATTTATTTTTCGAACGAAAAATTACACTGAAGATGGCACAACGCCGAAACCGGTTTGTCTGCAAACCAAGTTGGACGAGGGATGACGGAAACTCGTTCCAAAATAAATTAATTACATACATGTATTACCCAAAATTGTATTTGTAAATTGCTCGCCAACATAATTCCTGACTTCATAGACCTATAGTAAAATTTAGAGAGCACTTGTTTCCTAAAGCTTTTTAAAACTTTAATTTTAAATTAACTTTTTGAATTTAAAGTCAAAGGGAGGATTTAAAAGCTTAAACATTTTTTACCGGTCGTCGTATTAAACATAAAATTACATGTAATACGTAAGCTTTATTACAATATAAAAAATTTATGGGAGCTCGGAATAGAATCCTTTTATGGTTTCACTATCAGGATTGGTATTTGGACAAGGAGTTGCGATTAAAATAATATTGTAATGAGTGAGTGCGTGCTAATACTAGGCGTGCAACTAAAAATAGAATGCATTTCATTTGAACAGTTACCTGGTACACCCATTCGATAAGTCTTTTGTACGTATTTAAGGCCATGAACAATCTCTCTTTGCACAATAAAATCTATGCGCACTTTATAGTGAACACCTTCTTTAATGACGAATACCTGAATGAATAAAATTAATAAAAGGCGAGCATTAAACCCAGAACTTGTCACACGGCATTTACAAATAAAAAATGCAAAACTTTACAAAATATTTTGTATATATACCTGTTTTTTTAATTGACTTAAGTCCCCAGTCAAATCTAATTCCATATCATCGCGACCTTCCACTACTAAAGCCAATTTCTTAACAATCACTTTACGCTGATCGTTTGCATCTGAAATACAAAAATGTTTAACAATAATACTTGCGTTAAAATACTTATTAAGAGTTAGGTTTGGTCGAGGCTTACCGAAAATGATTTTTTCCGCTTGCGCAGCACCCAACAAAGCTTCCTTATACCGTCGTAAGCTTTCATCTTCTTGATCAACGGCCATTATTTCTTCAATGGTCTTTTCCGGTGGCGGTTGGTAGGTACTATCGTGTATATCTTCATCATGAATACCAACGTCGACATGTGATTCCGTAGACATTTTGAATAAGATTTATTTACACACGTAAAGCTGTGCTAATTGAAAATGAATAAAACATTGTAAATAAAGATATTGTGAATTTCGAAAATGTTTTTAAATAAAATTGCAACAGTAGGTGTTTGACATCAAAGTTATAATCTATGTATGCATAATGCAGATATTTCCCTAAAATGGAATGCTCAAGTACTTAGTAGAATTTATGGCATAAATAAACTACATGTGCATCACGCGTACATGCACATGTACATATGTATGTATGTACATACATACATACATAACTATTTATGTACTTATGTACACATTATTATGTATTAATGTATTTATTTTTGTATTAGTTTCCATAGATGGATCACTGGTAAAGCGAGTTTAAAATAAAAAAGGTTACGTGGCCTACGAGGAAAATTAATGAAACGATATTCATACATATCGTCGCCTGGGTGGCAGGTTGTGGGAAATCGCGATTGAAGTTTGGAATGCAATTACTCAAAAATGCGAAGATAGATTTTCTCCAAAGTCTCTGAAAATGTTACTAGTTCACAAAATTCTTAAATTATTTAATTTTTAATGTTTATTGTTAATTAGCTTTCGAGTTTATGGAAGGACTTTCTTTAGTCAAATTTTGTCGTAAGCGTCATTTGTCCACAATTTGGCAGCCACATTGTATGAAATACGACAAAATGTGATTAAATTTCTACCAAATTAACGACACTTTTTACTCAATATCTCGGAAACTAAAGGAGCTATCCAAAAATGGAGAACGCCATTTTAAGATATTGATTAGTTTAATATGACTGCAACTAAACTTTTTTCTGAATTTTCGAAAAAGTTGTAGTCAATATCTCGGAAACTAAAGGAGATATGTAAAAACTGATAACAACAATCGAAAGACCTTATTTCAAAATATATACTGCATCTAGAACTAAAAATCGTCAAAATTGCGCTTACAACAATCTTTTACCCAGGCGACGATATGTACGCAGGTATATACTATGAACTACTAATATGTGCAGATGTAATTTAGTAATTGGGAGTGGGGAGGTAAAAAATTACCGTAGATCGACGGTAAAAATTTCAGTAGATCTATGGTAAAAATTACGCCGAAAGAAGTTATGTCCCACCTCTCTGGCAACACAGAAAGGAGAATTGTAAGTAGTAAGGGTTATAATCCCGAAGCGCGGCCGAAGGCTGCCTACGCATAAATAAGTTCTTCCCCACTACATTATCCACGTAATTTTACTGTGGATCTACGGTAAGAGTTACCCTTGCGCGTGTGTGTAGACACTGCCTTTAATTTGTTTGTTTATAATTTACTTTTACTATCCCAACATTTTAGATGTCTTAAATATGTTTCTAGTAGTTTCCTTACATAATAAAACAAGTTTTAAAGCCTACGAAGTTTTGGTAAAGAATAAGGCACGGTCATCAATCATTTCAAGTACTTAAATTCTTCCTGTGTGGGTTTTCTACTAATCAAAGGAAGCTCAAACAAGACAAAACACTTGCACTTAATCACGCAATTTTACTATTTATGGAACAGTTTTTATGCACTGTATCTGCAAGAACGCAAACAAATAAAATCATTATATGAGCAGACTCATTCATAAAGTTCCTAGTCTATTTAAAAAATGTCTAACTCGCATGATTCACCCACGAAGAAAAAAATACCGGCGACTTTTTTAATAAGAGTGCGGAATCTTCCGATTCTTGCGACGAGTTTATATACATATGTATATGGATTTAAAAATGTATGTAGTAATTTCTCTGGACTTAACATCAATGCCGCCAATATTCATGCGATTGGAAAAATGCCGAACAGACCCCACCCCACAAATAGCAATGGAAGTTGTGGTAAGGTCTTCACCATTTTTGCTCTAACAGAGGACGTCTACAATAAAACATCCATTAATGTTACAGAACAATCTAAGCACCAATATTTTTTTTATTATACATATGCATGCGTATATTTTATTCACACTTATCAGCAGGCTATCGGAAAATTAGTCTGCATTATTTTATCGCATTTCTTCCCACAATTTCTACTTACATACATACATACATATCTACATATTGTATTTCACCTACCTATTTGAGGTTTTGCGGTAATTCTATTGCTATTGCTTTGCTGCAACAAATTAACTTATTTTTAAAGGAATTGCAAATTATCTCTAAAACAAATTTAACTTAAAATTCAAACCGCAGCAATGCAGCTAAATAAATTCAGCAAACACAGATGGTTATATTAAACGTCGATAAAAAATGAATGACTCCTTGGTGAATACCGTAAATTTATTTACGTTATTAGGCAAAATGGAGAAAATACGCTGGTGTTTACACGAAACAAATTTCCTTGCGACAACTCAGAGTTTGGGCGTTGCGCTCTTGTTCGTTTAAGTAATTGAAGTTGGCTGTTCACAACTAATAACAAAATTAGCTGTGTGTAATCGAAATCAAAAGAAATTGCAATATGAAGTCAAAAGACTCAAGAAATCGTTGCAATTATTAACTTTTTGGAGGAAGTTGGTGTTCATCTTTAACTTTTATTCTATTTTTGTATTGGCTTTATCACTTGTTAGTTGGGCCAAATAATTCCCGACCTTCTATAAATTATTAAAGATTATTAAATTTTTTTTCTACGCTCTTATCCTAGATTTTTTTAGGGTTTACACCGGACAAAACTGGCATGAAAATACCAATACGTGCACACTTTTTTACTAATCCATGCATATTTATTCAATTGCCTCAATCACTGTCTTGATTATTTTGAAGACAGATAACAATGAAGCAAGAAAGAAGAGAAATTCAAAAAAAAAAAAAAATATAATAATTAAAAAGACGCTGATCTTCTTTATTTCTTTGTTTTAAGCTCAAATAGCTCGCGCGGAATGCGTGTTTCTGCAACTTATAATGCAATGTTCACGTTCGACATTTTGCTCAAAATGAATTGTCTTAATTATTGTCGGGACGCCTACGCCACAGAGACAATTACCAGCGTTTTTGTTAACTAATACGTATTTCTTTATTGTCTTGACAGCCTTGTCCAATGTAAACGCGGCGTAAGTTAGGTGAATCAGTGTTACTTCTGTAACAATTCTTTGCCTAATGATATAGTTGAATGTTTTTTAGTTTTCCCAGTATACACATTGTTTTCTTAAAAAGGTATTTTATCTTATTTTACTTCTTTTCACTACGAATATACTATAAAAAAGCAAATTTGAAAAGCACAATATGAAATTTTATATTTTTCCCCCAAATGGCGATTAATTTCTTCCCGTTTTTTCTTCTTATTCTGCTGAGCTAATACTAGGCTCACATATAAGTAGATTATCCTCATTTTCGAGCTTAACTCCCTAATCTGTAATTAGAAAAAGAGATTAGCAATACAAAATTCGGCCCTTGTTAATCTGTAATTATAAAATAATCTCCGATAGCTTTTCGGTGGCCAACGAGCTTTTATCTATTATTTTTACGACGATGAGGAGAAATGCCATATGTAAAAGTAAACAAAAATGGACGCTAGAAAGGAAAAGAGGTTTGTAAAGGAATTTTTAATAAAATTTTAATATAAAACATATTTAAACTGCTAAATAGAGCGTGTGTGAATCGGTAACAAAGTTCGCGGCAAGTAAATTTTTGACAAGTTTGAGGTGAATAAAATTTCAGTAGCCCATAGGGCTAGTGAAATTTTTGACAAATGCATAGAAAATTTTGGCAATTCCAAAGATTGCTGCTGTGTGTAATTTTTCGTAAAATAAAAGCTTAAGTTGATGAACTGCAATCAATGATGGTAGATGTTTTCTTAAAATATTAATTTCACTAAATTTGTAATAGTTTATTGCGCATAAATCTGCGGTTATGAAAAATTTACTGCTGTCAAAAAAGATTTCATTTCACACAGCAGATTGGCAAAACTGTCTCACCATAGTAAAAATATTATTCAACAGCTTTCCCCATAGAACTTTGCTACCGATTCACACACGCCCATACTATAGAAAAAAGTGATCACGTTGGCACAGAGAAGAAGCATAACCTTTCC